GTGTTACTATTTTGCTGATCGAAGGTCATAGTCGTTGAAATAAAATTTCAATGCGCTCTTCTTGTACAAGAATATTTTCCAGTCATAAGCAAATGCAATAATAGTTAGCTTAGAGTATCCTGCTAAAAGGAATGCAACGAGTTGACCCCCACTTCGCCTTCGCAAAATATTCCTCGCCAGCCACGGTTGGCGTGTGCAGCTATGGCCTTCATGCTCTCAAATATCGACTTGGCGTTCGTTTCTATTTACACTGCCGCGCAAGAATAAAGTCTCTACAAACTACTGCATGTACAGGTGACGATTTTGCTGTGCTTTCCTTCAAATATTAGAAACAGCAGTAAAATATGTTTTATACAAAAAGTGCCTGGTTGCTAGAGAGCATTACGAACGGTGATGACTTCACGATCATAAGGACGTGAAGAAAATTGAAACCCTTGCCGTACTCTGCTCAAAAGATAACAATGGTCACTTCATAAAATCATGAGCTCCGTTTATACAAATTACTATTAAATGTGAGAGTAGGCTCTAACAATAAAAAAGTAACTTTATTTTTAAAACTTCAATTTTGTTTAGTTTTCTTTTTTAAAAATAAATGTTTAAAAAAACAATTTTATTTATTCTCTTAAAAATATTTTTTAAAGAAATAAATAAAAGGAAGGTTATTTCTAATTATCTCATGTTTCATTCATAAAATATTATTATAAAATATATTTCTGGTAGTCGGAGGTGTAGGACAATAAATCCGTTGTCGGCTAAGATAAGATTATTGGCATAATCATATGGGTTTCTAGTATTCTACCCATAGATATTTTACAGTGTGTTCTGCATCAATATTTCGCGAAGTTACAGTGCATTTAAATAACACCGAGTCCTCTTCCAAGTCCAAAAGAAATCATCTTCAAACTGCTCTCCTGTAAAATTTAGTAAATGTGACATAGTGTCCTACATCTCCCACCCAACAGATTTAATGAAATTACTACTTTTATCTTTTTGCAGATATTACTGAGCAATCCGAATTATTGATTTCGTATCTGAATCTTTACTGCTTGTTCTATTTATTGTCAGATAATAGTCTGTAAAATATGATATCCCCAAAACTATCAAAATGAACCAACACCACAAAAAAATCATTTATTTAGAACTCTGGTGCCTGAACCGGTGTCATAGAAAATTAAATACTATTATTTTCCTCTGTACAGTTCAGAAAAAGAATTCAAAGTATATTCGCGAGTTCAAGTACATTGAATTAATTAATACTTCGACGCGTGGGGACACGAAATTCGAATTAGAAAAGACAATTCGAGGGTGCAAATTATCCAGATCAAAATTATCATGTTCTAGGTTTAATTGCATTTTAGGAATAAATATGCTCAATGCTTTCTATACATTCTTCGAATAGTATCGAGTAGTTTTTCGGGCATCCTGCGTAATGCGCCTTTTTAGGTTTGGTGAACGCACCAGCGGATTGCTATAATATTGTGCAAGTCTCTGTAGTTGTTCGCGTAGTAAAGTATATTACGAAAAATACCGTAAGTTACAAAATTTGAAAAAAAGTACATTTGTACTTTACACTCTTCAGAAGTCGCTTCTAGAAAAAGTTACTTTCCTTGGTTTGCGCGTGTAATATTTTTACAAGGCTACGTACAAGAGCGTATTGCTCTGATGTGCTGAATACATGCTGCAGTGAGTTCCATAGCATAATCATTATCACGTGATTTCAACTTCTCAATGACTTCTAATCCGGGTGTTGGTTAAAAGTAATTTTTTCTACGAACATACAAAAATGAAGAATTTTACTTACAGCGATGCGTGCGTGAAGTTAATATATTTCTTACGACATCTTAAAAACGTGAAGTCACAGTACTTTTTTGCACCACCTATGAGGTATCAAAGATGCATTGTTTCTGTAACTAAGAAACATAAAAATGTAACAAATAATGATTCGAAATAAATGCGTTTTTATATGACCGTAGGAAAAGTTGTTTATATTTCTTTATTAAAATGACAGTTTCTTGAACGAGCTCGATTGATTTTTTTTTTTTTGCGTCAACGTATCGAAATCGGTAATAAATCTCAAATCTTGATCGTGCAAAAAAATGTATTTAATAATTTTGCTTCCTGTTTTTGTAGGATTTCTCAGCTAAAATTTTCACAACATTTTTTGTGTTTAGAATATTATCCAGTAAAATGTAGAAGCATATCGGAATATTAAGTCCGCGAATGTCTCTTGCGAGTCCCGTTCGGTCGTCGGCTCTGCTTTTGGGAGGCTGCCTTGCGTTCGCTGAGTGGCAGTCCGCTAGGAAGCGGAATGAACTGTTCTCATCGCGGCCAGCGCTGGCTGCGAGAGAAAATGACAGCCTCCTGGTTCTACGCTACCTGACCAACAGTCGCTTTCGAGTACCGAGTTAATGAATTGTTGGCTATTATTAACAGCATATTTATTGTTGCCGTTTAAATCGTCAATTACTCAATATTTAAAGTTCGTAATGTACGAGCGTTTTCCTCATGGTTACAAGTTACAAGTCGTCGGTAAAATCAACGTCTTATAAAAATTGCAGATTGTTCAAAACGAAGTTTTAAGCAAAAATTAAAAGCAACTAGTTATCAAACACACAAAAAACTCCAAATTTACGTGTCAAAACATATCCAAAAATAAGTAAATAATGTATATTTTTCTCTCCCATTATATTATTTCACTCCAATTCCTCTTAAGACAAGTAGCCAACATTTTAGTTGTCTGAAATGAAAATGTCCTAAAGATAGAGTTGTCCCAATCCTTAACTACTGCTTATTCATCAATCCTTTTCTTCTTCTTCTTCTTCTTCTTCTTCTTCTTCTTCTTCTTCTTCTTCTTCTTCTTCTTCTTCTAGTTGTTCGTCAATTCACATATTGATAAGATATTCGTCAAACAAAAAATTAAATGAATCAAAGATTCCCTTTATGGAGTATAGAATCGAAAACAATAAATTTGAAGACAGTAATTTGATTAACACCAATTTGGCAAGAAACACTCAAATTCTAAGAAATCAGAATGAACAATTCTTGAAAGACCCCAGTTCGAAGAGCACAAAATTTTAAAAAACTACTAATGTTAAATATTTCCCAAAAGACAATTTTAGGAAATTCTGATTCAACCCAAAGGCATGGTTATGGATCGCAGAAAAGTACAAAGCAAACTTGGCCCAACAGATGTATACGGCGCCTATCCATCTACTGCCGCTTCTCTGCTCGTTGGCCCCATCTGAGGCGCGTATTATGGGAGTGGATTCCCCTGATGAACGGGGTGGGGGGCGATTCTGCCTGTCACACCTCCCTTGTTGACGCTGTACCTATCTGTCTACGCTGTCCACGGAACGATCCCCCAGCTCCGCTCCCCCCACCTCAGCCCCCAACACAGATCACCATGCAGATCACCTATTATGCACCGTAATTGTGGCAACTGTGATTACAGCGTTGGAAAATAATTCACGCATTCCGCTTTCACGTTATCAACAAACACGACGCGAGTGAAAATTACGATCGCCGCCAATGCATGAAAGTTGTTTAGACACGAAGAAAGTTACGTGACTCGTTTAAAAAAAAAAAAGCGGCGTTACGTGCTAATCGGAAACATTCGATCTTTCAGAACTTGGAAAAGAAACGCAAATTTATTTCAGCAACGACTGTTTTCACCACAGCGGCCCCTTAATTCACAAATCCATCGTTCTAAACTACCGCGAGACGGCAGCAACGACGCCAACATTCATTCACAACGCCCTGCAAAGGAAACCGGCGCCAGCATTAGAGATATGCCTCGCTCGTTGGCACTTTTGGCATCGGCGCCACACCACTCTACCAGGCGCGCGCAGCCGTAATTCTAAAAAGGGCCTCCTCGCTCGCCCAAGGGCCGCACCAAAGGGAGAAGGCGGTCGGGCGCGCATTCGCCATCCGGAGGAGGCTCCGTGACGGACGGACGGACGGACGGACGGACGGACATGGTCCCTTCTGAGCAGCTTTCAGGGCGCGAGAGCATACAACGCGTTAACGCGGCGACATTAAATAGTAATGCGACAGACAGCGCATAAAATAAAACTTGCAAAATGGATTTTTTACATGAGGAGAAACATATCAAAGTGTTGAAAATCATTGCCATCGATAAATAAATGAGTGCGCTATATATTATCGAAATCCGGTTATATTGAAAAGCCCGCTATATTTGAAAAATATCGTCATTAATTAACTCATCCAACGTAGATTCGATTTTTTTGTGCGAATTAAAATACGTCACACATTTTGAAATCAGACAAGCAAGTCTCTGCTTTCCATGGTTAAGAGACAATAGAATAAAATTAGATGGAATTCTAAATCATCTGAAGTTTAGTATATGGTACAAATCACTGAAGTTTAAACTGGCACTTCGCGCCACTCATGCGGTAACTGCGCAGTTTGAATTCTGGAGGATTTCTTGAAAAGTGATTTCTTATAAAAGTGAATTGCTTATTGTGCGGTATGTAGGCTCAAGAATGTTTATAGTGAACGCGAGAACAGAAGACCCGAGCCCTGCCGGGATCCGAGCGAGCGAAGCGAGAAAACGTGCCGTTGAAAGTAAATTGGCGTTACAATGCGGCGGGAACAAAGCGTATGAAGGGTGAGCCATAGAATCGCCTATCCGTAGCGTAATTTGAAGGAGGGCTTAAGGAGAGACCTCCCCCCCCCCCCC